CTGGGGTCTGATTACTCGAAAGGTTATGAAGCAATTGTAGATCCGGTCATCAGCCCTTTACCTGAGACCTGCGAAAGAGCCGAAGAAGACCGGGTGGGGCGGGGCGGGTAACTCAATATCCATGCCCCGTCCCACACTACTAGTGGACGGGACGGGTAACTCAATACCCATGTCTAGTCTCACGTTATTAGGGGATGGGCCGGGGCGGGTAAAATCCGTGCGGGTACGAGGCGGGGCGTGTCGACCAACTCTCACACGTTATTTCTAAAAAAACACACGCAAATTTTACTTTTTATGATAAAAAGAAGGGGAAAACACTTTATGAATGAAAAATAGTTACAATAGAATGAGTAATTGAGTCGAACCAGTTGAAAGATCGACTCTAACTAGTTGGAGAAAAGTCAAAATAGGAGAAATATGTGTAGATATTGTAAGAAATTGAAGTAGAATGGGCCAAGAACGGGGCGGAGCAGGACAGGGCGGGTCTAAAGTAGATACCCATACCCCTCCCCATGCTAGTACGGGTCGGGTAATACCCGTCCCATCGCGGATCAGGTCGGATAATACCCGCGAGGCGGATTCAAATTGTCATCGCTACTTACAACTTTCATAATTTGGTGAGTCCATTACTTGAACGTTGTTTTTTTTAACCCGATACACAAATCCTTATTTTTAGTCATCGTAGCATATAGACTTTTTATTTGTGACATGTCTTTAACCAGGGTTAAATGTATCATATGCCATATGCAATTTATAACATATTAAACATTTGCGACTCATGAAATTTTTTCCCTTAACTTGTTCTCGCACATATGCATAGTTTTTTCTTCCTTTCATTTCTTTTCCGAACTTTTTTCCGAGTTACAAATTCTTAATATATAGTGTATGACGCATTGACATGAGATGTGACTCTTGTAATTAATGCTGGAAACAATATTCATATATCGAAATAGCCTAATCAGTAAAAGACTAAAAGTTCAAGGAAAACAAAAACACCATTGTTTACGTACCAGGAAGATCTATAAGGAGATAGTGTGAGTGATTGTCGTCGTCCCAAGCCGAGGAAGGGACGAATTCCTCTACCAAATGATCACGCGAACGAGCTCGCTGCGGCATCACTCCTCTTATTCCCCCCGCTGCAAGGTCATCAACGGTTGCCATTATATGTATCAATAATTTCAATATTCGGCCCAACGAGCGATAGCTCTTCTTTTCCTTTCTTGAGATCAATCATTTATATATAGAGAGAGAAGTTGCAGAGCTGCAGATATCTCTTTCTTTGTGATTGTGCTAATTGGAGGCGTGTCGGGGAACAAATTAAATGAGAGAAAAAAAGGCACGCGATACCTTGATTTTGCTTGAGTCCAAAGGCACCTCGATCTGTTAGGATAGAGAATATCTTTTTCATTGACATTTACTTCATTTCCTTCCAAACGATCAGGTGGAAAATAACTAACCATAACATTGTAATCCGATCGAGAGATAACTGAGTTGTACATTGAGAACAAACCAATCCATAATATCCTGCTGTATTTTCCCAAGATGCTGGCTGGTCATGGTTGAGAAGTGGGCATAGCAGCACCACTTCATATAATTAGGAGTCGGGTCACTTCTCATGCCTCAACCAATGGCTTGCAATCGGATAAGATGATTGTCAGGAAAGTATCAATGGTTGTCAGTTTGACTCGTCTCCATGAGAGCTCGAGTCTTGGCCTCAATCGAGGATCAACAAATAACCATTTTAACTCGTCTCCACAATAAGATTCTCTCGAGATTTCTCATAAAATTGTAAAAAACCATTTGATTCCAATAACACGAGTTATTGGTAGATTGTTCAATTATGGATCTTATATCATTCACTTTTCATTTTAGTTCATAAATAAAGGTTGGAGCGCCTTCTAAGCGCTCCGTTTCTCACATGAAAAAAAATTATATTATTGTTGATCAATAGAAAACAGTTTATCTTTGCATATTTGTTATTCAACTTAGTAGTTTCGTAGATAATTGGAGTTGTTCTTCTCATTAGGGAGAGTCTCTACTCAAGAGTGTCGAGCACTTATCCAAAGTCCTTACCATTAAAATGTTTGGCTTACGTAAAGGTAAGGTAAATGCCTCTGCTACTCTCCCTTTGGGCTTTGTCGGCGTGGATCCTAGACCCTTCTGTTGTCAGTAGGGTTAAATTAGTACGTTATCGGTATTCCAGTACCAGATACTAAAATCTCGAATACAAATAATACCTCCGCTACTCTCCATTTGGGCTTCGCCGGTGTTGATCCTTAAAATTGTTGTTGTCGGTAGGGTTGAAATTAGTACAGTATCGATATCCCAATACCAAAATCTCGAATACAAATAATGCCCTAAAATAAATCTCAACCCCAATCCCAAAATAAATTTGGTATCTAATCCCAAAGTCAAAATATTTTGGTATGGTATCGGTATTCCTAGATACCAAATAATTACTTTCGCACTTAATTAATAATTAAAAATTTACATAGTAAATAATGATTCGAACACCTCTAAACCTGTATAGTTTTATAAGACCTAGGCTTGTAGGTTTAATTTCATGATTGAAAACCTTGACTATGGAAAGTTTAGTGGAAAAAGTCTAATAAAAACTAATCAATGCATTCTATCAAATCTCAATCGAATGGATTTATTATAGGTGCTCATTAGGTGCTACAAGACTAAGCAAAGATTTTTTAGTTTTCTTAACTTAAGCAATCAGAAAAAGAAGGAAAATCATGATATCTCAATTTCTTGCTCATTATTGAGTTTGCTTAACATAAGGCAAAGAAAAAAGAAGGGAAAATGGTGATATGTAAATTTATTACTCATGACAATCTTTGATTTTATGGAGTGTAGGTTGAGGAAAGACTAATAAGAGTGCCATTTTTTAATCTTAAAAATAACAAAAGATGAGTGAGAGACAAGGGTTACCTGTAAAAACTTGGAAGCTAAGCCTGTTGGATTGGATGGGGGCTTGCCGGTTGTCAAAGTGTGAGCAATAAAAGTTTTGGTTATAATTAATTAATTGTCAATTTTAATATATACCAATAGCAATCTCATAATCTGTAACGACATATAATAGTCAGTGGTCGAGGAAGATCATCACAATGGTGCAAAGAATCCCCATCATGGCCGCAATCGAGAATAAGAGCGTCGACAATCCTAACCTCGCCATCAAATAATTAATACAATCTTGATTATGCCTTTTCTAAGACTTATTTTTCCTTTTTTTCGAGGGGATTGGCTTCTAATCATGAGCAAAGAGTCTTGAGTTTGCTTAAACCTAAGGAAAAGGACAAAAAGAAGGAAAAATGGTGATATCTCAATTTCTTACTCGTGATTTTTTTAAGGGTTAATACCTTAGTTTGGCCCGGACTATAGACAAACTTTCTACTTTGGCCCGTGGTATTGGAAATTGCTATTATGACCTAAACTATGTAGCATACTTCCTTCAGTTGACCGTTAGTCAAGGTCCACATCACTTGCCACGTCAGCTATAAGGAAATAAAAAAGTAATTTTTTTAATTTTTGAATTTTTGAATTTTCTAATAATAAAAATAATAAACCAAAAAAATTAATTAAAGAACCAAAAAAATTAATTAAAGAACCAAAAAAATTAATTAAAAGAGGTCCCCAAATTATCCCAGCCCCTCTTTTAATTAATTTTTTGGGTTTCTTTAATTATTTTTTTTTGGGTTTATTATTGGAAAGTAAAGAAATTAAAAAACATATTATTTATTACCTGATAGCTGACGTGGCAAGTGAGGTGGACATTGACTAACGGTCAACTCGGTTGACCGTCTAATTTGACGGTCAAACCCGCCTCTGGGCCAAATAAGGAAGTATGCTACATAGTTTAGGCCAGAATAGCAATTTTCGATGCCACAGGCCAAAGTAGAAAGTTTGTCTATAGTTCGGGCCAAACTAATGTATTAACCCTTTTTTTAATTACCCGGGAACCTCAACCCCACGTGTTACTTTGTCACAGCGGGCCTACTAAACATCATAAGCAAAGAGTCTTGTGTTTTTCGTAAACCTAAGGAAAGGATAAAAAGAACGAAAAATGGTGATATCTCAATTTCTTCCTCATGATTTTTTTTATTACCTAGGAACCTCAGCCTCACGAGTCACTTTGTGACAACAGGGCCTACTAAATCTGGGGGCCATCTGCAATCAATTCGACGCCAATGGAGCTTCGTCACCAGCAGCTTCATACCTTCGGGAACACCAACGGGCCTCTCTTTGATCGAACCTGGCATCTGCAACTCCCATGCCTTCATTGTCGCGGAAGCTTACCATTAGCTATCTTACCTTTGGTCAATTTCTTGGTCATGATAATCTTTGATTTGATGGAGTGGAGGGTGAGAAAAGACTAATAAGGGTGCTCGTTTTTCGATCCCGAAAACAACAAGAGATGAGTGAGAGACAAAGGTTATCCAAGAAAACTTGGAAGCTAAGCTTGCTCGAATGGATGGGGGCTTGCCAGCTTTCAAAGTGTGAGCAAATACTAGAAGTTGTGAATTTTATTAAATTAGTTGTCAATTTTGGTATATTCCAATCTTAACCTCATAATCTGAAATACTGAATAAAATCGCAAAATCAATCTCAATCACTAAAAAGCTACTCGATATTCAGTAATACCAACTAATGAGTAATAAATTCGACCGATAATATCTCAAATAACAATACCAAACTTCCAACCTAAGTTATCATCAATCCCTTCTACTATCTACTCTATTCGCCAGTTGACCACATAAAACCATCTGACAAGAATTTTGTCATATTTGTACAACTCTCTTAAATCTTGTATGTAGATGTGTTTCGATCCGACGAACGGTACGGTCAATAACAATATTAATAATGTAAAAGACTTAATAAAGAATACAGTAAACATGCAAATTCAAGGAAGCATGAAAAAAACACTAGAAGATCAAATTACCTGCATTCACTTGAAGCCTCACCCTTAATTTCGCATCCGATCTTTCATCTCTACTTCTCTTTAATTTCCATCTATTTTCTTACCCTCTTATCTTCCTCCAAAATTGAATTTAATCTTCTTCCCTTCCACGCCAGATCGAGCACATTTCCAAAGAGGCTAGGGCCCTGCAGCTTCAACATTAATTTTCTATCTTGATCTAACTACCAATCTCCTTAAGAGCAACCAAAAACAAATTTCAAAAATACTTTTTTACGTCAATAAAAGTTACGTTAATTTTATTTTCTTGATGAGAAATAAGGAAGGACAATAGATTTGATTTGAAAAAAAAAAGAAGACAGAAAATATAGAACGGGAGAAGGGATCGATGGGGATCACTTTAGTTTTTGTGTTTGTGGTAACATCACTTTGTATCGTCACAACTCCATCGACATCATCAGAGGTGGCCGACGGGAATCCCGGTCAAGTTAGCGATGAAGAGTACTGGAGTCGGCGAGCGAAGGAGGCTCACGAAAATGCTCAGGCAGCCTACCACCCTGACCCTGTCCAAGTCACCAACCATCTCAATGGCCAAGTACACGAGTAGGTTCCTTTTCCCTCCCCGATCTATTTTTTTTTTTTTGTTTCAATAATAATATCTTTTTTCCTAATTTCCTCATGCATCGATGAACAGGGCTTTGTCGGGAGACAACAACACAAGGCGAGGGCTGGGCCAAAAATCAGGAGGAGGGAAAGGGTCGCTGTGCCAGGCCACCAACCCCATCGACCAGTGCTGGCGCTGCGACAGAAACTGGGCCGCAAACCGCAAAAGGCTAGCTGACTGCGCCCTGGGTTTCGCCCGCAACACCACGGGCGGAAAGGACGGAGAGTTTTACGTCGTCACCGACCCTTCCGACGATGACGCGGTCAACCCCAGGCCCGGAACCCTCCGGCACGCCGCCATCCAGAACCGCCCGCTCTGGATCACGTTCGCCCGGCCCATGGTCATATCCCTAACCCAAGAGCTCATGGTCAACTCCAACAAGACCATTGACGCCCGCGGGGCCAACGTCCACATCGCCAACGGCTGCCAGCTCACCCTCCAGTTCGTCGACAATGTCATCATCCACGGCCTCCACGTCCACGACACCCAGCCCTGCTCCGGTGGTATGATCCGCAGCTCCGAGGACCACTTTGGGTTCCGCACTCGCAGCGACGGCGACGGTGTCTCCCTCTTTGGTGCCACCAACATCTGGATCGACCACCTCTCCATGTCCAACTGTGCCGACGGCCTCATCGATGTCATCATGAAGTCAACCGCCGTCACTATCTCCAATTGCCACTTCACGCGCCACAACGACGTCATGTTGTTCGGGGCCAGCGACGAGGAGGCCCAGGACAAGGTCATGCAGGTCACCCTCGCATTCAACCACTTTGGCCGCGGCTTGGTTCAGCGGATGCCACGCCTGCGGTTTGGGTTCGCCCATGTGGTCAACAATGATTACACCCACTGGGAGATGTACGCCGTGGGTGGGAGTTCCAACCCGACCATTCTGAGCCAGGGGAATCGGTTCATTGCCCCGCCCAATGCGGCTTCCAAAGAGGTGACCAAGAGGGAGTACACGGACCAGAGTGTTTGGAAGTCGTGGAACTGGAGATCGGAGGAGGATTTGTTGTTGAACGGGGCAGTTTTCGTCCAATCCGGTGGCCCCATCACTAGCTTGGACCAAAAGACTGTGATCGCGGCTAAGCAGGGTTCATTTGTGAGTCGTTTGACCCGAAGTGCCGGTTCGCTCGACTGCTCTGTGAATAGACCCTGTTAAGATTGAAAATTGAATTTTCAAGGTATGCGTTTGCGTTGAGCTCTCTCATAATGAGAAATTTGGTCTGACATAGGAAAGAGGCAGAAGAAAAAACAGAGATTTCTTTAGCTGGCGCATTAGGGATTTTGTTTTTTTTTTTTTTTTTTGGGAGAGCTTTGGGTGGGGCTATTTTATGTTGTTGAATCACCACCCAACCCAACCACATCTTCTTTGTATATGTATTCATTGATTCTTGATTAGGCAGCCATTTTCGTGCTGCCGAATGCAATGTAAAAAAAAGTTGATTCTTTAGTACTCTGCTTATCATGCTAAACTTTTGATGCTAATGTTCTTTAAAAATTTTGTAATGCACTGCTTAAATATCATGGTTCACTTGAAACCTGTTTCACTGTGATTCTTTACTGAAAATGCTTGGAAAGGCTCTGTTTTGCTCACACAATTATTCTTAAGTTCGGACCTTTTGGTCTTAATGAGACCTCTAGCCTTAGCAACTTGGTGAACTGTGCGAAAACATTTCAACTCCCAAGTAAGCTTTTGTTTTCTTAATATGTACACGTCGACTGATATTGTTGACGACAGTGAACTTTGTCGATCTTAATAGAAAAGACGATGTTGTCCATAATGCAGGGAAGAAGGAGCTGCAGAGTACAATAGACTCGATGAAGGAGCTCTAGGAATAAAGAGTGATTCATTGTATAAGAAACATTTCGTTTCTCTCCCAAACTCATTTATCCAAGACGGTGCTGCTTTATCATTTACGTTTAATGTTATTGTTTACCGTTGTGGAACATTAATTCTGGAAGTAATATAAATAGACAGAGGTGTCCCTCCTATCTATCAAGATGAGGATTCACTTGATCTTTCCTCCATTTCCTTCTTCTTCCTTACTCTTGAAACCTAAAATATAAATGGTATCAGAGCTGCAAAACCTCTAAGCAAGTACGGCCAATCCCAATACCCTTCCTCGTGGAGGAAATACAAGTGCGGTTCTGCAATTTGGAAGCTATGGAGACAACAGAAATTTCCAATCTCGCACCGAATTCAACAATGTCATCAACACCGACGATGGCAACGCTTGAGGTCCGAAAGGTCCAGTGTTTGGTAACCCTTTCTATATCAACCCAAACAAAAATCTTGCTCAGTCTATCGTTACTATAGTTCTGGATGGTCCAAATTATAATATGCGGTCTAAAGTTGTAAGGATTGTTCTTAAGACAAAGCATAAGCTGGGTTTTATAAATGGTTTAATTCCGATCCCATATCATTGACTCGCTAAAACACAACTCCTAACAGTGGCCAAGTGTAGATAATGAAAGGGATTGCAGTATAGTGGTACAAGTAATAAATATTGAATCCACGGGTCTCTATAGTTGCTATTACTCAGTTCGGTTCATTATCTAGCAAACCAGATTAAAGATTGATTTACTAAACTACTCTACTAGCTAAACTAAGGTTAAACTACTAATTACAGGTTGGGAACTCACTTAGGTTTGATTCCCCCTAGCTCCTCAGTTAGGTCCAAGTTGTAATTCCCTTTAGTTGCTTTACTGTTTATTAAACTGCAGAAGATCCGATAATAGCTTGGAATCTCTTAAGCTTACCAAGCCCTCTTATACAGAATACCTGGCGGACAACTAACCTCCACCAGAGTACAAAGCTAAGGCAATAGACAAAGATCTCCACTACTGGAATGAATTCCAGTACAAAGTAGTGAATTGACTGACTCTCATACAATCAATTCCCTATTACCAATTGAGAAAGCTCTCTTAATCCAATCAGATTCTATCTATCATAAGTTAAAGCAAAAATCAAAGAAAAGTGATCAGGATTCAATCGACTCAGCAATAATGCCACTACAAGAAAATATGTTTTTCACAACTATCAATTATGGTTGCCCAAACTGAAAAAATGGTTGCTGAAACCTTGCAGCGACCATAAATGAGAGTCGCCGACATGGTCGGCAATACTGCGTTGGCATAAGTCCAAGGTGACCATTTTTTGGTATAGTCGCCAAAGGTCTACTTACGGCAACTATAAACTATGGTTGGCGAAAAACCAATTCAGCGACTATCTTACTACGGTTGGCTGTATATGTTTCCACCGACTATCCAAAAATGGTTGGTGAAAGGCTAGAATTTCAGCCACCATATTTATGGTCGCTGCAAGATACTATTCAGGCAACAGGCTCACTTATGGTTGTCAAATGGGATATTTCAGCGACTATTTGACAAGGTAGCCAAAGAGTAAGAAATAGGTGGGAATTTAAGCAACCCTTCATTATGGTAGCCAAAAGACATATTCATGGGACTATTATTATATATGTATAGCTAGTCCCTTCTTATTCTATACATTTAATTTGAATATTGTAATAAATAGTACTTTCCAACAGAAGTTAATATAATCTGAGATTAATCAGAGATTAGTCACATTACAAGATACCAGGGACAAGTGAATAGAACATAAGAGACATTCCCTCAAAACGTGTCGCTGTAATAACACATACATCTACGAGAAACATGATTCGAGCTTACAATAATGTTAATGAGCATGTTGTTTGCTTGAACATGCTCTAAACAAGTACAGTATCCAAGAAATCCACACAAACCTTCTTTACTGGGGGAAGATTCAAACCCTCCATTCTCAAGTAGCTAATATTGACCAAAGCAATTATCATCGCGCTTCAACTGCTTCTTTCTACCTTCTCCCCTTCTGTTGAAATGTAATGAAGCAGCCTACAAGTCTGCTCCTTGATCAACCCAGCAGTGAAAGGGTACTGTGGAGTGACGAACGAGAACCGGTCGCTGAATTGATGCACTCCTTCCACCATCAGCTGGCAAACCAATGTTCCCACACATCTCTATCGTTTCCCACTCCTTCTTTGCCATGATCATTCACACTCCAAGCTGAACCCACCTCTGTGAAGAGGACCGGTTTCCTCAACAGATGTTCCCCGTTGCTTATGTGGGAATCCACCCACCGGGAGAGGTACTCGTCCTTAATTTCGAAGTTTGCATCTAGTATCCTGCACTGTGTGGTATTTGAAAAATAGTTTTTTTAACTTAGTAAAAGGTGTGAATGTAGTTTTCCCCACACACAAAAAAAAAGGTAACAATGTAGTAGAGAAGTGGGTTAGTAATGGATAGCTACAGACCGGCTATCCGGGCATTAATGAACAGACACGAAATCCATGCTGTCTACTGCTGAGTTCTGTATGAAGTCCAATCCAAGGGATGCTTCCCATTCCCCATGATTCACCTCCAACTTCTTGGTGGTGTTCTGGCCGTAAAATTCCTCTATATCAACCGCCACTAGGTGCCTTTGGTCAAGCTAATGAGGTAAGTAGACATCTCAGTGACCCAAGCTAGCCTTCCCAAAAGGAAGCACCAACAAGAAAAGACTATTTAGGGGATACTATACTAATGCGACACAAAAGAACCAGAACCAAAGTGCAAACATTCACCTGAAGAAAAGTAGCACATTAGCTTGAAGCACATCTAGGTTTGTTCATGAGTTCCCAAGCAGATATGGCTGGTTCATCAGAGTACGTGACCCCACTTACCAAGTTTTTGCTCGTCTCAATAGCCTACAAAAAAAAGAACATAGTACGAATTGTAAACACTACTTCAATGCAGCTCTAAGTGATCCAAAGAGCAAAGCCAACTCACGCCTTGATGTAGGCTTTGTAGTAATCTTTAATGACCTGAGTTTGAGAAGGAATCTTGGGCCAAAGAAACATTGATCCCAGCTTTTTTCCCCCATCTCACATACTAATCTTTCCCACCAAACGCATCCAGATTGTTCACTAGGCTAAGGGTCAACCTTATGCCATGCCCCTTGCCTCAACTATCACATAGCCCAACCCCTTAATTTTCAGAAAACGAACGAGAAAATTCATTCCTATTACGAAATCAAAAAACCCTATGATTGATCAATAGCTTCAGAGGTTCTCAATTCAAATTCCAAGTTCCCTTTTTCCCCAAACCAAATCCCTAGATCGCATACTAGATATTCAACCAGTAATAAGCAAATTGAAAGAGAAAGAGTGCGAAATTCGAAAACTTGTGACCAACCCGGAAGACCCTTTGGTGGAAACGCCAGGGGAATTGATCTGGATAGTGTTCAGGCTGTCGCCTTCGCTGAAAACCCAATTCCAGCAAACGGCCAGCCCCAAATTCGATGGCGCCACCAACCGTCACCCGCCGCAGTCGTCGATTCTCGATCTGGATCTCGGGCGCCATCGTCGTCTCCCCTCGTCCATCGCCGTAGCTTCTCTGTGATCACTATCTCGCCAACAATCGTCGCGGCCTAGTGTTGCTTTGGAGACCGCCAGACCTGGGGAGGTCAGGAGCATGGAGGGAGACGCTGGCGCCTCAGCTGGAAGCTGCGGCGTGTAGAGAACCGGGGAAGAAGATGCAAAATTAGGGATTCGTTTATGAAACTGAACGGGAATCGATTTCTGAACGGGAAGAAGATGCAAAATTAGGGATTCGTTTCTGAAACTGAAATGGTCAAAACATTGAACGGGAATCGATTTTTATTTTTTCACACTTTGCTCAGCAATAAAACGACAGCGTTGGGCGTTTGGTGTTTGGCCGAGACTACACCAACCATCTTGTAAATGGTTGCTTAAGAGCTGCATATAACCAACCATATTGAAAATCGTTGAAGTTTTGGCTATTGACAACCATTTAAAATTAGCTAACAGTTGGAGTGTACCACCGACCATTTTATCAATGGTTGTTGAAGTTTTTGTTTATGGGAAACTCTTTGACTCTTAGTTGCTCAAGTATAGGGTATAACCAACCATTTCACAAATGGTTGCCAAAGTTTTTGTTTATTAGCAACCACGTACATCGTGGTTGCATAAGTATATGGCATCACCAACTATTCCAGAAATAATCGCCGAACTCTTCATTTATTAGCGACCATGTGCCTCATGGTTGCTTCAGGGTAGAGTATCACCAACCATTTCAAAAATGGTTGTCGAATTTTCCATTTATCAGCAACCATGTAGATTATGGTTGCTTTAGAATAGGCTATCAGCAACCATGTACGTCATGGTTGTTTATGGGTAGGGTATCAACAACGATTTCAGAAATGGTCGTAAAAGGTTTTATTTATCCGCAACCATTTACATTATGGTTGCTTAAGGGTATAGTATCACCAACTATTTTGTAAATGGTTGTTGAAGTTTTGATTTATGGCGACCATTCTACTATTGGTTGCGCTAGAGTTAGGTATCAGCTACCATTTTTTAAATGGTTGGCAAAACCTGGTTATAAGCAACCATTTTTGTATGGTCGCCAAGAA